GCAGGGGCACTTATCTGAAATAAGTAGGCCTGCCCTCCACCGCACTCCTCGCCAGCAGCTCCATATGGTAATGAGCTGTGTAAGATGAAGAAAATATGTTATTCGCAACACAAACAGCATTGCAGTTAATTCAAGCAGCATAGGCATAATGCACTCGCACAGTTTCAACAGCAACAGCGTTTTACAAGTGTCAAGTTCACGTGAAAAATTGAGAAATTAGCTAATTTGTGCTGTGCAATAATACAATGAGTACGTTTGAAGCCTTTGTGCAATGCAAATACGTCAGATGCTAAGTCACTGTGTTGGTATGTGACCAGCTGCCAGAACATAAATTGAAATGAATAACAAACTAGGAGGCTTGCCTGCCAAAGTGGAAAGGATGATGAGATTATGATGTCCATCTGCAGTATGTGCAACGTCTCACTGTTAGCGTCCTCATTAACATGAAGATTGTTTTAATTTGCCCAAATTTGGTCCGTTTAAACACGCTAACATTTGGCAATTGTGGCCCTTTTTGAGTTCAGTGTGGCTCTCCTTTGTGTCACATCACAAGCACAGAGCTGCAATCTATTTTGAACTGCAGTCTGTACTTTACAGAACTGCTGTATTGCATGACGATGTTTACCATGGCGACAGAAATTAATTCAAAAACAAGAACAGGCCATTGTTGAATAAAAAGTTGCACACATTTTACTGAGAATATGTCCCGTTGTTTAACGCGGTGCAGGTCTGACTGGTTTGCTGTGAAGAAACTAACTTTGGATCGCCAACAACAACTGAATCGTAAGTAGTTAGAATTAATGAGCAATTATTAGTTTTGTGTCACTCAGCAGCTAATTCAGAGTTAATCAGGAACTATTTATGAAGACAGCTGTCGGTATATTGATTCACACATATCAAAGAACATAGAGCTTCATTTAAAGGAATAATTCCACATAATGGGGAAATTATCTCATTCCCTTTCTTGCTGAAAGTCAGATGGGCAGATCAATATTAAACATGAATGCTTATTAATACTTCTCAGACCAATCATCTTGTGCCTCTTTCAACAATGATACTGCAGACACCACAGGTATTAATCATTTTAAGCCTGAGATTAGAGATTTTTCCACTTTTAAAAGATAAGTTTGACATTTAGAGAGATATGCTTATTTGGTTTCTTGCCAAGAGTTGTATGAGAAGATCAATACTGCTCTCAATAAGCGTAATGGAGTCTCTGGCAACTTCACAGTGACGACAACACTCCAGGAAGTTACTCCACCCTGCCAAGAAATAATCATAACCCTCTGAACCACAACTTGTTGTCTTTACACTTCAGTTTTTGTACAGATTAAACAAATGTTAATTAGTGGTATGGTAGAAGTGCTGGTAGGCTGATTTTGTTACCTTTGGACTAGGCTAGCTGTTTCCCCCTGTTTTTTAAAGTATTTATACTAAACTAATATAACCTGCTGCTGGCTCCAGCTTTAATTATACCATACAGTATTTAACATTTAGGAAGATCTGTTGGCAGAAATGGAATATAATATACACAGGTATGTTTTCATTCATTAGGTCCAGGCATGTCACATCACAGCCCACCCATCCCTGCACACAGAGAGGGATGGTTATGAGTCACTCACAAAGACTGTGAATAGGATCTCCTCCATCACAATGAGGATGTGGAGACAGTTGTGATGAAATAATTCACAGAGGTACAGGGCTGCTCAGAAGGTCAGCTAATTAACAGGCACAAGGCGAGAGGCATTTGCTATCACAATCAAATTTGTGGCGAAAGTCCTCCTGGCTAACTAACACAGCTGCGCCCACTTGTCACGGAAGTCCAGTGGACCATGAGGTTAGCCATCAAAACAAAGGCCCAGTCACCCACTAATAGGGCCTCTGGAAGTTTCCACGACTGCGTAGGTGGGAGGTCAGCACCTTTGGGCCTGTTACTGCCACATATAATACCTCTGATCATTATCGCTAGAAAGTGGGCCCCCAATCAGGAGCAGGTACCTGTCACATCTGTAAGAAAGAAAAACAGCAGTCGTGGGTTAATGCTCTTTTGGCTTTGCTTTTTCTCACTTTGACTTTTTGCTTGTCTCAAAGGCCACATCTCTCTATAACCATCTAAGCAGAATCATTGTCATATAACTCCTGAGTTTCATAGATAGCCTCGGGGAGAAAAACCTCTTGTTACACAGCTCCCGTTCCCGTTATGTATTCCAGTGGTCACTTGTGCATTATCTGTCTATCTTTCACATTTCAGACTGTGAATGGGCACTGAGCTCACAGCAGCATCTTTACAGAGACATAATTAGAAGGGAGCAGGTATGACAGATGGATTACAATCATAATTGAGAGCATGGAGAGTCCATCGTCCTAGCTGCAGTGCACCTGCTTTGTCTTTGGCATAAACAGCAGAAGAGGTAAGAATTTGTCTTCTCATACAGCGTGCCTGTAGAATTAGAATATGGGGGAGTTTTTTTTTTCTCCTTACAGGCACCGATTCTGCTCACAATGATGAAGAAAAGCACAGATAGCCTGATTTTATTATTCCAAAGCAGATGGTAGAAAATGAGACACGGGGCCCAGCAGCTGAGTGACCTTCATGTTGCTAATCTAACATTGCCCCTACATTGATCTAACATTAACACCTCACCCCTCACAGACTATGCATGACTCCAAACAGACTGGTGGCCTGCATGCTTTCGAACAAATCACCTCGACATGCAATTACCTCCTGCTCCAGAGTTATTTCTTTCCTGTGGATACGATGGCCCTTTCATTCGAGTCTGGGAATTAAACAGGTTTCCAGGTTAATTAATTTGACAGACAGACCCCATTGTGTAGTGTCAGCCCAAAAGGAAACCTCATTGCCTCTTGTCCTGAAGGTTGACTTTTTATTGTTCTTTGATTCGTCGTTCTTGAAAGGAGCACATAGTGCCAGCCCTGTAATTGACTTGAAGAAGACTGCATCGAACAGACGTGTTATTGAATGCTTGAAACAAAAGCTCTGGTCTCTCATCGGAGGCCATGATTTATCTAGTGGGATTCATTGAAATGTAGTGCACCTCTGGCATATGGCAACCATGGCTGTATTTGTTTGTTTGGGCAGCTATATACTGAAGGTGCACCTCTTCCAGGATATGTTCTCTCTCCTACTTGCTTGTTGCTTTCTACTTCATCCAATGATAAAATTGAAATGGAATTTATCCGAGTGTGTGTGTGTGTGTGTGTGTGTGTGTGTGTGTGTGTGTGTGTGTGTGTGTGTGTGTGTGTGTGTTGTGTGTGTGTGCGTGTGTGTGCGTGTGTGTGCGCACGCGCACGTGACTGAGAGTCTGTGTGGAAGTGAGGAAGGAGAAAGAGAGAAGATCCAAACCGAAGTGTAATCTCAGTCTAAATCACACAGCCTCCCTAGGGGAAAAGCCCCTCTTCCTGGGGTTAGTCAGTGAATTAAATCACGGTGAGGGCCCCATTTTTCAAAAGTAACCTTTCCGTTGACAGTGTAAGTGGGAGTCAGGCTCTCACTGTAGAGTCCGAGCAGTGGAATTAGTGTCTTGCGTGGCGACACCAGTCTCTCAGGGTGTCATTTGTAGGGGCTGTTGCTGCATTTGTCCAGGCCTGCCTGCCTGTCTCAGTGTGCTCACAGTGGAGGAGGCCATCTGCCTCCCTCTCCTCTCACATCCCTCATTTCTCTCTTCAGCAGTCTCTTCCCAGCAGTTCCCACACAGTTTCCTTAAATGTATTTTTGGTGCATCTCATGAATTTTGGCCCCAGTGTACAGTTTGTGCACCCAAAACCATACACACTTGGACATGAACAATTTGCCTGTTGAAAGATATTCATGCAATCAGTGCGGCTAATGGAGATAAATACACTACATGGCAGGATTAGGCTTGAATTAATCTCTATTCAACTTAATTAATTAGAAATGTGTCCATCCAAGCCTGTAATGTCAATAGGACATGTTTCAATTAGAGCTACATCGCCTTTTCTAATCATTTAATTGAACAGAAACGAATGGAACTAACATGTTCATAAAATGGGATTCTATGGCTCATAATCATTTCTACGATAAAGCAACTCTCAGAGGCTGTTTATTACTCAAAGATCAAGCAACTTAACCGATTTATTCTATAATCCATTTACTGTTTCTTGTTTGACCATTTCCCAGAGTGCTGCTGTGATTTTCCAACAACAACAGCAGCCCCATGGATGCCATTGTTGCATGTGTGGTGGCTGATTTAGAAGTGGTCAGTTTCTAAGGTTACTTGAAAATGAAGGCTTATGCATGAATTATGTATCTAACGGAGTGCTCAGTTGGCACCTTTTCTCACACTGTAACCAGCTGAAAGAATACAGCAGTCCTCGGTATAACATAACAATGAATATTTGGAATTACATACAAACTACCTTTTTTTTTTTTTTCAATTAATGCCACAAATTGCCAAGTGAATCCCTGGCTAATGCATGCCCACAAAAGCAAATTATTATAATCAGCTTGTTTGTAAAAGCACTATCTGTGCAATTAAATAGTTTGGTGATGATAGTGTTTTATTAGGAAGATGTGAGGGATCCTTACTCCTAAAGGTTTGGTTAATTCTCACCAACCTGTGTGCCAGTGTGCGTGCCAGCATGGTGCGTGTGTGTGCGTGTGTGGGGTGAGGGGGGGTGCACAGGATGAATCAGGAGTGTCTTCTGAAGAAGGGTTGCCTGGGAGACCAGCCTGGACCCCTCCAAACGTGTCTGTTCTCCTCTCTCCTCCTCCTCCTCCGTTTTAAAGGTGCATCAGTAATGAATCCAAAACTATTTCTGGAAAAGCACTTTTTTATTTTTATTTTTTTTTGTCGGCGGATGAAGCCCTTCATACCTGCAGCTCGGCTGTGTTTTCATAATGCTACAGATCTGTGTTTCATGCCTGCCACCGTCAACATCAAAAAGAAAAAGAGACACTTTTGTGTGTGTGTGTGTGTGTGTGTGTTTGAAGGGGATAAAGGAGGGAGGGGAAGAAGAGAGAGAAAGAGATTATGAATGCTGAGATGCGGCGCACTGAGAAGCACTCAGAGGAACAATTGTCTTGCTATTAAAGTCTGCAAGTGCATTTGTTCGCCTTGTTTACCTTCTCGATCTTTTCATGTCTGAAGACACTGAACGCCAACTTCCTGAAAACCTTTGCCATGAAGTGATGCTACTGGGTTTTTTTTTTCTCAACCAGCTGAATGACGTCTCGCAAGGAAAAAAGGGGGCTGAAAACTCGGCGCACACAGTGAATCCCTCGCTGTGACTCATTCATTTTGTATAAATGCGACCGGTTGCGGAGACAGAGAAAGAGCCGGGCTTTAATTAGGTGGAATCTTCTTAGTCCTCTACCCTAGTGGACGCGCATTTCAGCTCGTACTGGTCGCTTTTTCTCTCTTTCTTTTTTTTTTTGAGGGGGGAGACTGTGGAGATGATACGCACCACGGGGACACAGACACCACAGCCGACCGAGCCATCTCTGCGCTCCCATGGAGTTGGTTTGAGGAGAAGAAGAATGTCACCCACTTCTGCAGGTCCTAACATTTAAGTATTGATTGTGAGAGGTAATTCCTATATATATAAAAAAAGAATTACATATATCCATATATGTTATTTGGTAGAATCACCGCTCCAGTGTTGTGAAGATATGTCAGTTCTCAGCAGCGGCTTCATTGTGCTCCCACTCGCGCTTTGGATTTAGCATAAATGGACAAAATTAGGCCAGTTCATCTGCGGCGGGTGTTCATCTTCTTTTACTGATATTTTCTGACTTAGTGGATGTAGCCTCCCCCGTTACGAGGGCACAGAATTACCGTCTGGGGCTTCACTATTCAACAAGCTGCACCGCTCACTCCTGGCAGCAAAGCGATGGGCGCAGTTTGCCTGAGCCATCTACTGCGTCTTGGTTCTTCAGCCCAGCTTGTTGAATCTCCTCCCTGGTGACAAGAATGGGTTTATTTTAACAAACTTATCTGCCTTTTCTGGTTCTATCTTCGGCGGATTTCAGACTCCATCTTTCCTAAAAGTTGATCATGGCTCGTCCCGGTCTGTGCGCGAAGCTGTGCTCTATATGGAGAGTGTTTTGGCTCATGAGGACTGTGGTAGATTTCGCGCTGCCTCAGGAGACTTATGCACCACATTCAATACGGACTGAGGGACACCTGACCCTCGGTGGACTCTTCCCAGTGCACGCCAGAGGGGCCGACGGCACTCCGTGCGGGGACCTAAAAAAGGAGAACGGCATCCAGCGGCTTGAGGCCATGATGTACGCTTTGGACCAAATAAACCAGGACGAGCAACTCTTACCCAACATCACCTTAGGCGCCCGGGTGCTGGACACTTGTTCGAGGGATACCTACGCGTTGGAGCAATCTTTAACTTTCGTCCAAGCCCTGATCACGAAGGACACCTCCGACGTGAGGTGCACTAATGGGGAGCCACCGGTGTTTGTCAAGCCTGAAAAAGTGGTGGGAGTCATCGGAGCCTCAGCGAGTTCAGTATCGATTATGGTTGCCAACATCCTACGCCTCTTTCAGGCAAGTCTTTGAGCGTGTGCAATAGTTTTGTGGCTTTAAAACAGTGTTTAGTGCAGTAGATTCCGCTCTGTAGGGAGGAGTGAAAGTGGTGCGCCTCATTGCTACCCACCCAGTGATGGGGAACAGATGAGAACAGGGGATGCCATAAGTAGCAAACAACAAATAAACCTAATTTCATAGAGTAAAACATGTATTCATTAACAAAAACCTGCCATTTTTCACGTGATATTACATTTGTGCCTTTCCTCCCTTTTTAATTTTTCTAATTTTCATCTAGATCTCTCTCCATCTTAAAATATTGTAACAAGAGGAAGGTGGAGTGAGTTTAGGTGCTTTTCCCCTCCACTACACTGGGTGGATGAGACAGCTGAGTGTGCTGTTGCTTGTCCCCGGTGGTTCTGAAAGAACAGCTCCCGTCTGTTCCAGTCTCACTCCAGAGTCTGGATGAGTGGGCACTGACAGCCTGACACAATCACACCCAAACTCAACAACCCCCTCCTGAGAATAACAGGCCTGCTTCATGTGATTGCACATGATTATATGAGCCTCTTGAAGGGAAATACTGCAGGGGTTTTTTATGAATTGTTTTGAACCTGAAAGCCTTGATTTATGGTTGAGTTGACTTGTTTTTATCTGCAGGGGTCCCTCTCTTTGAAATTAGCCTGTTTCAAACTCTATGCACCCTAATTGAGCTCGATGGCTGCAAGTAAATGAAATGAATTCGCACCACTAATTTCAAAATGAGTTTGCTTGGGTTTATGAGGAACACATCTCTATTCCTGTTGGCTGATAGTCAACTGAGAGTGTTGACCCACTGCTGGTGCTGCAGTGGAATGAGAAACACAGCAGGGCATCAGTACAGCAGATTAATTATTTAAAACACATCTCCATAGCAAAATATCTAATTACTCGGAATACCATGTGGATGCTTTTTTGCAAATGTGCAGACATCTATACAGTTTTTCTTCGGGTGGGGACGGCGGTGTTAAAGCCAGGATCATCAGAGCTGCAGTGTTGCTGATGCTAATAGTCTGCGGTTGCACGTTGTAACTCCCAGTCTTGTCATTTTGTGTTTTGTTTCGGTTCAATTAGAGAAACCATGGGCCAAACTGTAAGTAGCTATTTAACTGCATCAAAGTGCTTAACATGCTTTTAGCCCCCCCCCTTTTCTTTTGTTTTCACATACACACTTACACATGCAACACTCTTGTTTTCTATACAGCAGTCATCCTCTGGGCTTTTATGGCTCTCTCGGCTGGACAATTAGACTGATGGTCCCCACCGCAACCTTCAGCCTGGCTTTGGTTGCTTTTCACTCTTTGTAGGCCAAGTTAACAAATTCATTTTTTATCATTCCAAGTTGGTAAAACCCTGCAGTCATACTTTGAAGCCTCCTCAATACACTTGTTATTTGTTACAGAAAGCAAGGGTTGTGAGGCTTCCTTTTCTCTTTCATGCAAGCTGTGTAACATTAACATGTATGCATTTGTGAAATTGAGAGGGTTTAAGGGGAGTGAGATGATTTCTTGATTCCCTCTCCTCTTTCTTCCTCACACCAGGTGTACCTAGTGTGTCTGTAAGTGTAAAGCTGTGGGAGTGTAGGTGTGTCGTCCATGTGTGATGTTGTAATCGAGCTTGAGACAGCAGTTGTCATGCAGCTCCGTCCGTCACTCCGCTTCCCATTTCCCTAAAGTGTTGCCAGAAAGGTGGATTTAATCAGCACAGTCAAATCTACACACAAGATAAATTCAGTCCTCCTGTGACCCTGTTTGCACTTCAGAACACTTCTTTCTTTAAAGGTGTGAGCGGTGATGATAGTACTTATAATAAATGATGATGAATTAAAAGTCAGGCCTCATGATGCTGTATAATCAATACATGCCAGAAGTGAAAGCTCCCATCCCATTTACCCTCATTAGTTTTCCAACATTTGATTAGTGTGTGGCAGCAATTCCTAGTTTCTGAGATCATTTTCAACTGCAATCCATCAAGTATCAAATGATTCAGCGTCAAAAGCCTCAGAGAACACCTGTTCAGATATAATTAAAGAGGCAATGCAGCATTTTTTTTCTCAAATCAAAGCGTAAAAAGATGCGTTCAGTTTCTTGTCTTAGTCGATTAAAATTGCATTTGATTACTGGTTAGTGATTATGCTCAATAGCAAAGCAATCGAATGGACTTTGAAGTTCATTCTTTACACTTTTTCACAGCCTGCGGACAGTGACCTCTCCCTGAGTTGTCCTCCTAGCCTACTTCCCACTTTGTTCTCAGTGAATATCATCAGGTCATTTTGTGTCTCACCGCCTGTGATAAATGAGTCATCAGGAAAGCTAAATAGTGATTGTAGATTTTATTGCCTGACGCTAAATATCACAGCTGTCTATTCAGGACATGAGTAGCTGCTGAACTGTTAATGCAGGGGAATTGACATGAGGGATGGATTTTTCTGAGGACCCAGGAGAGTTGATCAATACTGTTGCCATGGTGAGGCCGATTTGCTGCTAAGATGTTTTTATTTCTCTGCCTTCATGCTGTGTTGGAAATGAGAAGCAACACTGCCACAGGAGGAAAAGAAAATCAATTAGCCAAACTTTTGAATTGTTACCAGGAGCTATTATGTTGTGCACCTTTTGAAACATCATCCAATGCTCACTCTCTGCTCATGAGCACCCAGTCACTCTTAGGGAGGACGATACTGTAGTTGAAACGACGGGGCAACTTTGTCCATTTGTAAGTCCTGGCCTCTTGAATGAATCATGAAATTGATTTTTCTCCAGATGACATTTACATCAGGGAGTGCAGCTCGCCATTCTGTCACATCTCTTTTCCCAAAGACCTGGGTAAAACTTTGTATTGAATGCAGGTGAACTCCGTCTTGTCCTCCTGTCTGGGGAAGCAGCCCCTTCAGACTAGCTGTCTAAGTGAGGCATTGACGTCCTCTGCTCTCATAGCCCTGACAGGCTCCGGTCGGCTTTTTATCTCTCCTTTTTCACAGAATCATCACTGTGATTGATTTGAGGGAGATTGAAGCCTTGCAGTGTGATCTATTCAGCTGACAGTGGTGAAGACGGACACCGGAGGAATATGAGGGCTGTGTGTGTCCTACGTAACAAGCTCTCAAAGTGACACAAAATGGCAAAGGTTAATTATGTCTGTTTTTCTAAACACTGTTGTCATTTGTACATTGATGCATGCAGTGGCGCAGGTCAATTAGTCACATCGCAGTCTAAAACTGCATTCAGCCCATAGGAGACACAGTTGGTATGTCAAGTAGTGCAGCATATGAATAGATGCAGACACATATATGCACACAAAGAGGTCTATTACCATTCTTGAAGGAAGGAAGACGTCTTCTCTCCATCATTCGCTAATTGGCTTTTATTCAGAGTGCAACACTGGGTGCATTATAACTTTATAACGAGTATCTGAAACGTGGATAACAAAGAAAGTAATTCCACTTTCTCAACTAACATCTCTCTAAACTAAGGTTCAGCATCTTAGTTATAAAAAAGAACTAAACTGAGAATTATCGTGTCTTCTATTAATGGGAATATTTATTTTTGGATATATGGTTAATTAAGACTTTGTTACTGCACATGTGCAGATAGTAAATTACTGTTTCTAGCAGAGCAAAAAATGACTGTATGTAGTGAACTTGGCTAAAAGATGAACGAAAAAAGGGTTTTGATCATATCAAATACAGCATACGAGAACAGAGGAAGACAAGTTGGATAGTTTAAAATTCTTGATTTTGTGAAAATGGAAAACAAAAACTTGACTGAATGTTAATAAACCTGAATGATCAGATCTCCACCCTTCTTCAGATAGAACAAGAACATTACTGAATATAAGAATATGAGTCAAATTTTTATAATTGTCTGGCTTTCCAAGGGGATTGATTTTGCCCCTGTACTCAAATGGAAGACAGTATGTCTAATTTAATCATTTTTTTGCAGTAACTGGGTACCAATAATCTAACAAACGACAAAATAAATACCCGCTCAGTGCTCCCTCGTTCCAGATTTTCCTTGTATTATATATGGACGTGGCATCATTTTCACCTACACTGGTCTTCCTCAGATTAAAGTGAAGCTGTGAGCACACCTGTATTTATAGATGAGTTGTGATCACACATCAACTGTGAATTTGGCCATTGATAAACTACATGTGAGGACAATATGCCCAATTATTCACTCAGCAGGAATGATTACTTGCTACGTGAATATCACATCAACATTACATTAGAAATACAGCAGCTGAGTCCTCGAGGGAGACAATGTGATTGAAACTTTGCCATGTCCTTCGGAACAAAACACTGTGTAGGTAGTTTTTGTTTGACTGTTTTCATGCAGAAAACATAAATGTTTTCCAAACACACAACAATACTCAAAAGAAGGTCCACTCTCACACATTTATCTTCAATTTTCTTTTCTTTTTTTATGGCCTAGTAACTCTCTTTCCACAAATAACAAAAATTGCCTGACGGACTTTAAAGTTGATGAGTCATCAGTTACACATATTTGTGCTTGTTTTGAAGAACAATTGATAGTAAAAATTGATCTTTCTCATAACATTTTCACACATACACAAACATAAAAAGTTAGAAATATCGACCCAAACTGAGAAAACTGTTGTATTGCAAATGAAATGGAAGTATGAATATACTTATAGTATGAAGTAAAGCTTTTCATAAAAAAATTAAAACATACATAAAATAAATGTAAGTAGAGAGGATTAAGGAGCTTTAAGAATTAATATGTGCTTGTATTATTCCTGTGTAGACCTACTGAATATATTATTCTACATATACACTTCAGGTCCTTGAGAGTGAGAGCCCTGCTGGTTCTCATTTCAGCCATTTAATCTAATGCTGACTTATGGCGCTGTAAGACCAGACCTGGCAAGGTGAAGTTTACTCACACGCTGTGGCAAAAAGCAGGTGGAACAGGAACTAATGTGGGCAGGGTTACAAGCATAATCTGCAGGTGTTAGCATGGCTA